GGGTCGGCGGCCTCCGCGCTCCCGCCGGCGTGTTTTAAGTCGCGTCTGCGCGCCGGGGGACCCGGGCGGGGGGGTCTGTGTGGTGTTGGGTGAGGGGGGGTTTGTGTGTGTGTCTGTGTGGCTTTTTAGGGTGCGCGAACTCCGCGCTGGGCCGTGGGCCGCGGGTTGCGTGGCCTGCTGTCACCCCGGCGCGGGGGGGCGGCCGCCAGTGGGAGTTATTGCCAATAATAACAATAATAATAATTAACGACAACAGGGCTCGGTGCCGGGGGTTGGGGGGGCCGCGGGCACAGCCGGAGCCCCGGCTTTCCAGGGGGAAGGCGGCCGCTGGCGCTCATGTGAGGGGCTGTGGGAACAGCGTTTTCTTCTGAAAGTGAATCAGGATTTTTTTTTTTTTTTAAAGTAAAGAGTTGCTGTTGATCCACGAAAGACGCGCGCTAAAGTTTTCGAGGCGTCAGAAATGACGTGCCATGAGTGACCTCGTGGAGGCGAGGAGGTACGCTCAATTTGGCTGGAGTTCTTGCGTAACTGGGGGGCTGGGGCTTGAGGAGGCTACTCCGTGTGCTGTTCTTACCGGTTAAGTAAACTGGAAGGAAATTGGCTGCTGCACTTATCAAATGATGCAAACGTGACTTATCTGGCCATGAACAGCCTACGTGCAGTGTTTACGTTGCAGATGAGCCTTTGGGTTTGGCTTTAATTTCATACACTAGTCTTTTCTATTTTAACACGCAGGTTTAAAAAGTAATTTGGACGGTGCTGGTAGTTTATTTCAGTATAGCCTACAGTAAACATGTACTCTGCACCATGCAAATTTTAACCATGACACTGAGAACGGAAGAGGAACCACAACACTTCAAAAATTAATTCCTTTTATTTAATTTCATGAAGGTCGTAGTTAAACTTTTTTGTAGAATCAGCCCCAGCCTGTATTCAGGAGAGGGTCCTAAAATACTTACCTTAAAAAGAATTGCCGAGCTTGACCATACGTGTGATAGTAATGTACAACAGACTTAAGTAAATGTTCTTGTCAGGACGGAAAAGGCCAAAAGAACAAGAGAACAGAGAAAGATGATGGTAGATTCATAATCAACAGCAAGGTGGATCTAATGTAGAAAAGTAAAACACCGTCAACCTATTTGTTGGTTTTATTTACACATTGGGAAGATTCTTGGTTGGAAGATGTCTGTAATAGCTTGTATTATACAATGCTTTCATGGGAGCTGGGCCATTAAAATGATTAAGGGTCTGGAACATCTGACATAAGAGGAGAGGCTGAGGGAGCTGGGACTGCTCAGCCTGGAGAAGAGAAGTCTCGGGGCGGATCTCACCCACGTGTGTAAATACCTGATGGGGTAAGTAAAGATGGCAGAGCCAGGTTCTTCTCAGCGGTGTTGAGTGAAAGGACAAGAGGTGATGGCACAAACACAGGCAATTCAATTTAAACGTAGGGAAAAAAAAATCTTTTGAATTCATTCAAACAGTGGAACAGGTTTCCCAGAGAGACTGAGAAGTCTCCATCTTTGGAGATGCTCAAAACCCAACTGGACGCAGCCTTGAGCAACTTGCTGTAGCTGACCCTGCTCTGAGCAGGAGGGTTGGACTAGACAATCTGCAGAGGTGCTTTCCAACTTGAATGATTCTACAATTTCTATGCTAGTTTTTTCAACAAACGTAAAGTGCATAGAAAATTATAATGAACAGCAGGATATCCTGTAAGGTCTTTGGTTCCAAGGACATTTTAATCGGTCTGTCATTCATGTAGGGAATGGAAGTCCGGAATACAGGGCTCATTACCCTCAAAGAGTCAGTGTATCCAAATGTTAGGTCATTGCAGGGGGAGGCCTCAGAAAAGATGGGATGCCATTGAAGGGCAAATGGCAAGATGTTTTGTGAAGACCTGAATTTTAACTTCTTGACTAGTTGGCCATTCACCCTGTCTGTGTGTAACCGTTCCACCTTTATCCCCGTGTTCTTTACTACTTGGGAGCCAGAGAGCAGCAGCTTTTGAGGCATTGGAGGGACATTTTTGTCCTGATGCAGCCATCACCTAAATGTTGTCCCCAGCCACCATGGTTTCCAGTAGGCCACAAACACCCTGGTATGATCAGGAACAGGGTAACTCCCATCAGGGGAGCTGCCAGAAAGGAAGCCATGTTTACAACTGATATTCACAGCTGTTCCTGCTCTCACTGCTAACGGGGGAGTCCAAGGGCAGAACGCACTTGAAAACTGCAGATATGATAAGTATGCTTGCACCTCCTTGGAACAGCATAGGTTAACTTATTTGCACAAATGTTTTTGTAACCTGCGCTTTTTGGAGTGGAACAGGCAAATGATAAAAATACATTGTAAGCAATAGGATTTCTGACCTTAATTAATGGTTAGGTTGGGTCAGATTTGATACACCAGAGACAGAATATAGCTTGTATATGAAAGTTTGTAGCGCTCAGTTGTTCACAGTCCTCTGAACAGAGCCCTTACCTTCCAACTCTAATTTTGCCTGTGATCCTGTGTTTCTTTATATTTTTCCCTAGAGCTTGTTTTAGTGTCTCTCAGCAGTAGGTACCATGCTGTATCTGACTTTGCCCTCACAAAAGCAAACAAGGCTGATGGCTTTTGCTGAATGTCCTCTTAAAATTATACTCGTACTTAGCAGTCACAGAGTTAGTTCTGAAGGTACATGCTGGTAATTTCTTACTTGGACACTTAATGATCATGTTGGCTGTTAAAGATGTTACGATCAGGTTCTATCTAGGCAATCTTAAAAAGAGTTAGCGTGTCCTTCAAGTCATGAAAAATTGGTACGGCTGTAAGTCAGTATGGCCAATAATGTTTGCATACATCTCACTGCTGATAATTTACTTGTGAATAAATTGTAAAAATCGGTAAAGAGCCATTTTCAGTCACGGTGCTTTCCTGTTTATCTTGTGTCTTATTTAGGTCCCTTTCCAGCTATTGGCAACATGCTTGGCAAACACCAGTGTGCTGAGTAACACTGCTAGATTTCTCAAGCTCTGGCTCCTCAATTAATAACAACCCTAGGTTATAAGATGCTAAATTGAGGGTCGTCAGCTTTGTGTTGACTGGTTTGAAGGCCTTTAGGTAAAGATGTGTTTGCTTCCTGATCTACAATGAAATTGAGTTGTTTTATCATCCAGTTACATTATCATGTTTCCTTTAACAGTAGCAATTTTTTCAACCTTGATGAACCCATCAGCTGGTGATCAGTGGTCATCTTGAGTTGAATCAAGGTCACTTCAATGCACGGTAAACATACTGCACCTGCTGAAGTGATCCGTTCATGGTTCTCCTATGCAGCCACAGTGATGGAGGGAAATTAGAGGCTGGGTAGGAAAGAAAGTGTGTGTGGGGGTTGTTCCCATTTCTCCCAGAATAGTCTGTTAATATATTTTAATGGAAATTCTACGAATAATTTTTCTGTCTTCCAGCTTCTGTTTGAAACTTGTCTATAAAAAAGAATTACCGTCATCTTATCCAAGGATCTGAAGTCCTCCATAACTTTTTCTGGTTTAGTTGTTAATAATACTGTGCATGCACCAATATTTACCTGCAATCATTTGATTAAAAAGGAATGGCTAAGGAGGATTGAGGTTGTTCGTAACAGTGGTAAAAAGGTTTACTTTGTAACTGTAGTAGCTGCTGACTTACTGTAAGGAAGAGTTGGAAAAAACATCTTTTCGTTTTAGCTGTCTGTGGTCCACCTTTGAAACTAACTACACGAGAAACGCAAGTTTGATGTAGTTAAATACAAAAACTTGCGCATGTGATTTGGAGGCAGTGCTTGTAGTACTATTGTCCACTAAACCATTTGTGATGTCCAGGAAAAATGAATTACCTCTACTAGTAACATCTCAGCTATTCATCCAAGGAACCCATGATACGTATCAAAGGCTGCATGCATTTGAAACAAATGAGGATTTCAGAAGAACCCAAACACCCGAGTATTTAGTATTCTTGTTTTCATACAGCTTGTATCATCGCCACTAAAACTGCCCCTGACAAGGACTATCAAGGACAAAGATCTTTTTAGTGTTGTAGCAAATGCATATTTCCATCGGTAGATGGAAAAAGGGTGGTGGAGTATGTGTTTCTGTTTTCCGTGTGACAAAACCAGCAAAATGTGTTCGTAGTTCATGAAGGTTAAATAAAGCGGTTTTCAGTCTACAAGCAACTCTGCAAGGTTTAAATTGTGAACTTTTGCTGGGATGGGTTTGCCAGCAAGGTCAGTTCCTTTATTAGAATTAATTTAC